CTTACCTAAATATTTTATTAGACTTTGTTGTAAATAAGTTTCTCAATACATATGATATGATGCTAGCACAAAAAACACGTAGATTCAACATTCAGATAGAACCAATTTAAGCATAATAACATCATAAAATGATTCAGTAAGACGGAAACTCTTATCATTTACCTAAAGATTATATTACTTTTAGCAAAATTATTGAATACTTAAAAAAATATAATATTTATAAGAGATAAAGAATGAGTTAACTAACCATTGAACATAAAACTGTTGTAAAAAGTAAATGTCGTCATGATGAGATGATACCAATACTCTATTATGTATCACGACATCGTTAACACAGGAATATTTAAAAAGGAAAATATAATTACGTAAATTAAATTATTAAATGCAAAAACATTTTTAAATAACGATTGAATCTGTAAAATAAATTTAATATTTAAATAACAATTAATTAATAAAATGTTATGTTAATTTTTTTAATTGTATTAATATTATGTTTTTTAAATAAAGTAATTATATGTTTTGTTGATACTTCAATCATAAGATACTTACATTATATGAGAAAGAATAAAAGTTTTGTATAAAAAAATTACATACGAGTAATTTTATTCGGAACATTTTGTTCAACATTTTCCCTAATTCTTTTTGTTATAGGTTTTGTACCTTTTAAACATTTTGCAAATGTCATTTTTTCTTTTAATAATGTAATGTTTGATACATTATCCACCTCCAAGTAAAAAATATCATCTGTATAAGTACACGAAATAAAAATATCAATAAAAAGTAATAGCTATTTCTTAAAAAATTTATTTATTATATATATAATAAAATATTAACTTGCTACTTTCACATATCCTTTAACTTCTATTTCTTGGCCTTTTATAAAATCATTTACATAGTTATCGAAGTTCGTGATTTGAATTTCTAATTTATAAGTACCGTCAGTGATTGAGCCATAACCACATACTTTATGATTTGTTGAAAACACATTAAAATTGGTTTTTATAAAACCGCACACAACTAAAAATTAATTAATTTAATTTTTTAATTGAGGCAATTTGTTAATTTAAATATAATTACTTTTTACGATTTTACTTTTATTTATGAAACAAATACATAAACCTATTTTTTTAAACATTAAAAATTACAAATATTATCTTAAAATTATAATTTCTACTTTCAGAATGTCCAAAGGACACATGGTAATAGATTTTTTTTTAAATTAGTTAACCTAACTTGCTAACAGAAAAAAATTTAATTAATAATGTATATTTGAGAGAGAGAGAGAGTCATATAATTATTTTTTAAAAAATTAAAATGTCCAGAAATATTATTGATACTTACCAATATATGAATTTAGATATTCTGGTATTTTTGTTAAAGTAACTTTTTGAGGTTGTACTGCATTTATGTTTAACTTTATATCAAATGTGCCAAGAATATTAATAATCGTATTAGAACATACGATCAATTCGTACGGTAATGTACCATGATTAAAATCTGTAATTTTCGGTTTTTTGGCTTTTGCACCATCTATATGTATAATCTATAAAATATAAGAACAATATAAAAATAAATTAAAATATTAAAATTTTATTTAAATACATTTAACTATTTGGATAGTAGGTTGTTTTATTTAATTTGAATTCCGATAATAATTTGTAAATATAAATAATGCATAAGTAAATGTAAACTAAACATAAAAATTATTAATTACCTTATTTGGTTGTATGAAACATTGTATTCGTTCAACTTCGTTATTCCAAGCTACAACTTGTAGCCGATGTTGACTATTATTATTCAACATAAATTTAAGCAGTCGATAATGTTGTGCTTTTCCCACAATTTTTGGGCCTTCAATCTCATCAACGAATCCTACTACTTCCCTATAAAATTAACATATTTTCTTAGTATACTATATATGTAT